CCTATCATCAGCTCCAAAGAAAAATGGGCAGAGCTACAACTTGCTATCATCGAAACCTCTTCCCATACAAGGATGGTATCAGTCTTTCAGCTGGTGCTCTGTACCTCAGGTAGCTATGCCTTGGCCATAGCATAACTTGGCCTTGGGGAGGGGGTGCTGTGAGGTTATCACACACTAGATCAGTAGGAAGTTCGTGCATCCCACAGAAAGTCTTCAAGCCAGTGACATCTGAAGTGTGTTTACGTTGCCCCAAAACACGTTTTAAGTTCTCAAAGTTAAAATTTGTTTTGCTTGTGGTCTTATGTGTGTGTCTGTATGTGTCCAAATGTACCTTATTTAGGATATGCAAAAGTTTCAGACTTTCAGGAGATTACCTTGATAGTGTTTTGAAAAATAGGAGCATGTTGTTTTCAAATTCCTTGTTTAGCTGAACCGACTGAGCAGCCTTACAGAGGAATAGATCATCATCTCTTTGCTTTTTTGCATAACTTTTTATTAAGAAAAACTTCAAACTTATGCAAATAAAAGCAGACCTTTGTATCTGCAGTTTCTGCATCTGTGGATTTGGATTTAGTCAACTGTGGCTTGAAAACTTTGCAAAATAAGAGGAACGTATTTGATGAACACACACAACTTTTTTGGCTTAGGATTTCTTCCTAATAATATAGTATAACAACTGTTTACATATTATAGGTGTCATCTCAGTAAACTAGAGGGGATTTATAGTGTATGGGAAGCTGTAGGTAGTTCTTTTCAGTTTGAATAACTTTTTCAAATTTAAACATTTTTACAGATATGTAACATTTTACCAATTTATGGGGTACTATGTGACATTTACTATTTATTTATTTATTTATTTATTTATTTATTTATATTTAGGACAGGGTGTATAAGGTCTCATTGCATAGATCAGACTCGTACTGATTCTCCTGTTTACAGCTTCCCAAGTGCTCGGCTTACAGGCGCGCACCACCACACCCAATCCCAATCTCCATCTCAGTGTACCCCGGGGGTGGGACTGGCATGGCAGGTGCTGGGATTGAACCCCTGGCCTCTGCGCCTGCTTGCAGGCACTTTAATCTGCTGAGCTATTTGGCCAGCCCTCCATTTGACATTTAGATACACATATATACTGTGACTATGCCATTTCATATAAAGAACCTTAATATTTGAGGATTGTGCTATCCTCAGAAATCCTAAAATCAATCCTCCATGGATAGCAAGTGACAACTACATAGTGGAAACACTATGGGACAACCACCTATGGAACCAGTATTACATTTCAACTATTAAATAATTACATTCGTGGATGATTACATTTTCTTTATACTCCTTTTCCTTTCCTCTCTCCTGGTTATGTTGGAGCAAATTTCAGGCAGTTTATCAATTACCCATGACCATATTTTTCATAGGAAGCTATCCTCCTCGTTAGTAATTTTGTGCATAAAAGTTCTCTGTATGAAATAGCTTCTGGTGGTAGTTTACTATAGAGCATGAAACTTACTGAATTTTCAAAATTAAAAAAAAATAGCCAAAAAGGCCAGTGATCCTACAGGCCTTCTTAGTATCAACCTAACCATTAGTACAAACATTTCACATCTCTCTTGGTGTCTGCATTTTTATCTTTTTGTTTTGTTTTCTTTGCTGGGTACCAGGAATCAAACTCAGGACCTTGTGCTTGCCAGGCAGGTGTTTTACCACTGAGTCATAACCTCAGGCCCTCTACTTTCATCTTGGATGAGAGCTCTGATTAAGAACTATAGGAGAAAAGTATAAAAACGAAATATAAGAAGTAAAGCCGTGCTGTTATGTTGAGCTGTAGGGGACTCAGGTCAACAATTTCTGACATTGCCAGTGAAACAGAAGACCCAATACTATTATGGACCTCTGAACTCTTTTAGAATATTTTGCTGAGTTTACACACCTATAATATTCAAATAACGGAACTTAACAAAAAAAGGGTATACAGATGAATGTCCATTTTCTATCTGTGTATTCAAAGCGGTTAGGATAGATATATAGTCACATTCTCTTAATGAATAGAGGGATTTGTTCTAATAGAGTTTGTAAATAGGATATCATGTCCTCATCTTGTACTGTAATTAACCACTAGGAAGAATGTATACGTGTTAATTATTAAACATTTTATTTTTTATTTTATTTTATTTATGTGTGTGTGTGTGTGTGTGTGTGTGTGTGTGTGTGGCCAGCTCAGCCCACCAGGGGCGGGGCTGGCTGGCATGTGGTGCTGGGGGATTGAACTGCAGTCCCTGTGCTTTGCTCAACTTGTTCTAAGTAGGTGCTTTAGACCACTGAGCCATCTCACCAGCCCAGTTTTTTTTAAACATTTTATTTTTTATTTTATTTTACAATGTGTTAATTATTGAAACTGTCCTACCAATTTGATTTGAAACTGTCTCATTGCTATTTGTTTATCAGTAAAATTATGGGAAAAAAAAGAACTTTGTGTTCTAACTCGGAAGTCTACAGTTAGTGTGAAAGTGCAAATTTATCATTACGGTTCAGTGGAATAAAAGGATTATCATTTTTTTTCAGAACTGGGGATTGAAAAAAGGATTATGTGAAGTGAAGTGTTTAAGATAAAAGTTAAGGTACACCCTGAAATTTATGCAAGAATTTAGAACCCGGGGAACAGGAAAAATAATTGTTTAGTAATGGTGTACAAGAAAGAGATTTTGGTGACAGTAAACAAAAAGGATGACTTTTAGAGATGGGGAAAATGATTGGAGGAAGGAGCAGGAAAAGAAGTAATGGGAATATAAATAGTCAAAATGTACATGCTTGTGCCACTATACCTAAAAACACCCTCTTTATTCTGTACCACTAATTTGTACTCATTATTAAGAAAAAGGTGACTAGGACTTCAAATAAGGCAAAGTATGAGAAAACTCTCTGAAAATGTTAAGTGTCAGATAAATGCAAGTCATTGTTACTCAATGCCTAAATCCTATCTATGATATAAATGCAAAAAGTAAGAAAATAGCCATCCGGGATGACTTTTAATGCTATCTTTAAGCCTGTAACATTAAATTATTGCAAGGAATTGGGATTTTCCTTGATAAAATTAATTTGACTAAAATGCAGTTTCAGAAACTGCAAGGAGATATGGAGGAAACTTGCTTTCACTCTAAGCCTCCTTTCCACTGGCTTCGTTTCTGAAGTGAAGCAATGAATGCTGTCTTCAATAAAAGACTGTCCTGGTGTAAAGATTAAAAAGTCACACCCTTCTCCACTCTCCAAGGTTTGTAATCTACAAGGAAAAACTAAACACTCATGTTACCTTTAAAAAGGTAACAAAACTCCTTTTTGTTACCTTTTTAAAAATTGTGGCGATATACCAATTGTAAATATACAAATTCAGTGGAATTAAATACATCCACAAGGTTGTGTAACCGTCACCATCATCTATACTAAACCTTTTTCATTAACCCCAATCTAAGGGGCCGGGGAGATGGCTCAGTGGAATAAGCACTTCCCTGGCAAGGCAAGCTCAAGGGCCTGAGTTCAATCCCTGGTTCTGAAAAAAAAGAATGTATACTCTGTGCTCAATAAATAATAAATAACTGGAATTATCACTCCCTAATAACCTCAATTCTCCTCTCTGTCTATTTGTCTTTGTTCATTCAAGGTACCTCATAAAAGTGAAATCATACAGTATTTCTTTTTTTTAACCATACAATATTTCTGTGACTCACTTATTTTCCATGGCCTAATTAAGCAGCCTTTTTTTCATCCAAGCCAAATACGAAAGCAGCCTCATGATCACACTGAGAGCACAGGGAGCAGAAGGCCTAAGTTTCAGGAGGGGCAGCATCTAAGTCAATTCAGCAGGTGGGGCAAAAGCAAAGGGGCAGACAGGACAAAATTCTGGGATGCTGAGGACATGGGGGTGGGACTGAATGTCACCAAGGCCAGTAAGGACAATTTGGTGTAGAATAAGTAGAATCTAGGGCTATTCATTGAACAATTCTGGATCCAGGGGTGACTGGTGAGCAAACTAAAACAAGACCACTTCCTTGCTTGTAATCTACTCGGGAAGGGAGACTTAGTAACTTTCAGAAGATTATATCCAGTGAAATGTACATTCACCAGAAAGGATGTACTGACTCAGCCTTCCAAGGGAGGGTCCTAATAAGACAAGATCAAGATGCACTTGCAGACTACGTGTTGTACATTTCCAGAACATGGGTCCTGCCCAGGAAACTTTTGGGGAATGTTAGGGCTGACAGTATAGCTCTCAGAGAATTCTGAATAAATGACTCTTATCCTCAGTTTAATGACTGTCATCAGGAAAGCATTGGCCCAGCAGAGTAGGGACAAATGCCAGGACCATGGTCATGCCTTGGAGACTGCCCCACACTCAGAAGACACATTGTCTGTGAACAGTGCTGGAGGTGGCAGCTGATGATACCTGGCCCCAAGGAAGGGCTCCAGACTGTCTTCAGGGAGCAGGAAGGCCACAGAGGGCCTGCTGACATACCCACCCTCAATCACTCTCTGCAATACACTGTACCCAGTGGTGGACTCCCTGAATCTCTGTCTGTGTCCAGAATGTTGCTGACCTCACAACAGAGAACCCCAATGCTGCAGACTTCTTGTTGCATCCTGTAGCTAAAACAAAACCAAAACAAATGCCAAACTTGCTTTTTGAAACAAAGGTGAGAGGGCATCTGAACTCATTCAAAGTCTGCTATTAGTACTTGTCAATGTACTGTCCAAGCAGATGCCCAGAGGATGCAGTATGAGGTGGGGCTGGATAGGAGACTGAGATTAATTTGGGTATTAGGAGTAGTTTCCAAGGACCTGGAAGCCTTTGGGGATTAATCACTGTATATGGGAGAAAGCATTGTTGCCTTTGATGACTCCAGCAGCAGAACAGAGGATGGAAGGGAGGGAGCAAAGTAGAGCCAGAAAAGTCAGGGAAGAGGTGGTTCTTATAGCTAATCTGCAATTCATCATTCTTTTATTATTTTACCAACCTGGTAAGCACAAGGTCCCAAGTTTGATCCCTGGTACTGCAAGAAAAATAATTAATTAATTAACATTTAAAATTAAAAAATAAAAATCTCCTTGAGAAGGCTGAGGTACTTATAGCTTAGTGGCAGAGCACTTGCCTAGCATGTGAGAGGTACTGTGATCCCCAGAACAACACACAAATAAAAGAAAAATAACCATGGGGAGTTGGTGTAGGGGGTCAGGACAGGAAGAAAGCAGGAAGACTATTTGGAATAATCTAGTGACTTGAACTGAAGGTGTCACAACATAGGGCAGTGGTGAGAAGGGGTTGGATTTTGGATGTATGCTGGAGATATAGCTTGTAGGATGAGAAAGAAAGGAACTAAAGATTACTGGGAATATCTGGTTTAGGTCACTGAAAGGATAGAGTTGCCTTGAATTCAGATGGGGAAAGCAGTGACTGGGACAAATTTTGGGTGGCAAGCCAGCAGGCCAAGTTTGGGCAGGCAAAGTTTGAAATTTCACTGCCCAAGTGACAGATTGTGAAGCACTGAAGTGGGCAGTGAAGTAGAGGATGGACACGGTACTTGGTGTCCAGCAGTGACAGCAGAGGTGCACAAAGTACTCTGTGCCCAAAAGATAACATCTGAGTTTTTAAGTAGTTGAATTTGTCACTCAGCGAAGAAGTAGAAAAAGTCCTCTGATTTTATGGCTGGATGATGCTGGCTGAATGGGGGTGAATCCCCGAATAGAGGACTAACCCTTGGCCTGAGAGTGGAGGGAGAGATGGTGCTTTGGCGGTTACACCACTAATCACACTAGAATTAAGATGCCAATGGTAGATATATCCAAGAGCAAAGACCTAGAAGAGATTTGGCAATGTAGTTCAGTGCTCAGGAAGGGTTACAAAGCTAGAGACAAGACAAAAATCCTCTCCCTCCATGAGTTCCAGGTGTACTGAGGGCGTTGGACAAAAGAATTAATTCAGGGCCACCTGAAGAAACAAAGGAGGTCAAGAAAGCAACAATGCATGGAAGGTCAAGAGTGAGGAGGGTGCCAGAAAAATCCAAATACACAGAAACTTGATTTGACTGATGGCAGGCTCCAAAACCTATTACAACACATGAGGTTTTTAATGTTTAGGCCTAAGGCCAATCTCTTCTTCTTTTTTATTTTCCAATCTCTTCTGGTATAGAAATATACCATCAAACATAAAACATAACAATGAACTACTACCATATACTATTATATTTCATGAAAACTCTGCACTCAAGTTTGTCCATAAAGATGTATCCCATGGGCTCTATGAGTCACAGGGAAGCTAAGCTTTCTGTGTGATATGCCCTTTGGTGTCACTGATTATTTATGTATGTTCTTGTATTTTACTGAAATGTCCCTTATACACTATTTCATAGAATTGGAAATGATTGGGAGAAGAGATTCTCAAAGTCCCTAAAGTGCTGGATGTGGCAGCACAGACCTGCAATCCCAGCACTTGTGAGGCTGAGGCAGGAGGATCACCACTGGTTCAAGACTCACTTGGGTTACATAGTAAGTTCAAAACCAGCTTCAACTCCATAGTGAGAACTTCTTTCAAATGATAAAACAAAAAAGCCCTCAGAAAGTCCTTCATAAGTTGTGTATTTATCATATAACAAATAGTTTCAACTCTGCCCTATTAAACTATTTCTATCTATGTAAACCAGACAACCCCCCCCCACACACACACATACAAATCCTTTGACTAAAGGTTAATATTACATTAAAGAAATTCCTTGATCTTCATTGGATTGATTCTTCGTTTTTTTCACTCCCAATTCCAAAAGAAAGCAGGCCTTTTGCCATTCCACAAAATATAATTTAAAGACTATGTTGCTGTATCTTGACTGAGAAAGCTTAGCTTCCTCCTCTCTCCTACTTTTTCCTGAACAGCATGATCCCATCTTTTTCCCTGGCTTTGCAGAGAGCAAGGCAGGAATGGACAGGCACAGTGAATGTACCCTTGCTGTTTGGGGGCTTTTCAGTGAATTCCAGCCCAGGTGCTGATTTTTACAAATTCTAAGTTAAGGAGTAGAGTCCTAAGAAGTTGAAAGGGTTTCCTTTCCAACAGATCCCAGCAGCAGCCTCGGTGAGTAATGAGCAAGTACTGTCAGGGGTCTGGAACAGCTTCTGTCACTGGAGAAATAGGTTCACTCTTTCCATATTCCAGCAAAACTTTTAAACAAGCAGCGTGGACAAAGCCAAATTGTCCGTAATGAAGAAGGGGCAGCAGAAATTTCAGTGGCTGAGCTAGAACAAGTTGTATCCCAACTAAGGTGCACGCTGTAACTCCCTGCATTTCTCAAACTGCCCATCTCCACGAGGTAATGATACAAGAGGGGAGGGCATGGACAGCATAACGAGCTGTCACCAGCCTCAGGGAAAAAGACTTTAAGGACGCACACCACAAAGAATCTCTGTCCCCAATAATTTGTTTTAGAGGTTCCTCTCCTCTAACTTTAGGGCGCGACACACCACAAAAAGTCCAAAGAAAGGAAATGCGCAACGGAGAAGGCTGATTTGTTCATTGCACAGCTGTGATGCTGATCCCTGCCCTAAGGGTAGCTGAGAGTCCATCCATAACTCCCGCCGGGAGGTGGGGGGTTGTAATACAATGCAAAATCCAGTGAGTAGTAACTCATTACGCCTCGGCTTCTGGAAATGCAGCCTTAGATTTGCACTCTCATCTTTAGCTATATTACAGCAGACTGGATTTCTGGAGTTAGATTCAACCAGCTTTGGCAGCGTGCCTTCCCAAGGAAGTCAAATGCCCTGCTCCGCACAGATTGGGACAGCTGTTTTCTCATCCAGTGCAAAGATCCTTAAGGAAGGTTCAGCCGTCTGGTGACTCCCACTGTGAAGGAAGAGCGCTAAGTTGGGAGGACGATGCTCAGTTAAGTCCTCCCAGGAAACCAAGACAATATTTACAGCGCCAGGAGCCGTCCCAGCTGCGAGACTCGCAGAGGCAGCTCTGGGGCTGGGGTCGTGGGGAGGGTAATGGCCCTGTCCAGGTCTGCCGTCCCCCTGGACCCCCCACTTCGCTCGACCGCCCATCCTTACCTGAGAGTTTCCTTTAGAGCTCTAATCTCTCCGCTTGCTCGCCTCTGCCTCCCAGGACTCCGGAGGCCAGCGCCTAGCCACCTTTCACTCCCCTCATACCCGCCCTCGCTCAAGGATACGCCCCCATCAGGCATTTGAGCTAGCTGCCGCCTAGCGTACAGCCCTGGCCACGCCCCTCCAGACTTTGCCAGCCCTCTACCCCCTGCTCCGGCCACACCTCTTCCGCTCAGCCACACCCCTTCACACTGAGCCACGCCTCTAAATTTGTCTCTGGCCCCTCCTCTGCCCCTCCCACCACGCTCTGCCAATGCTGGCAGCACATGGGTGAAATCAGGTTGTGGTCCTAAAAACTGGAGTCTAAAAAGTGACTTTTCTCTGGTTTCTCCCAACTCCAAATACCATAACTTGATGGGCCGGGAACAAGTGACTCAAAAGGGAAACAAACATTGGACGTGTCCTTTCCTGCTAGGTTTCATGTCCAATTTACCAGCTTCTTACCAGCTTCTAAACTTGAACTGTGGAACTGAGTTCCTTCCAGTGAGTTTTCATGTTCTTTAAACCAGAACTGTGGGATAGTGTTCCTTCTAGCCCCTTGGCCTTAGCTGACCTTAAAATGTTAGGCAAATGTGTGGAGTAAGCGTATTTCTTTCGTTCCTGTGTCTTCTCCAGTTGAGTTTTCATAGGCACCACCCTCTCTATCTGTGTCCAGGGCAGGTCTTGATATCATCTCACCTGGTCTGGAACTCGAGTTGCAGCTCTGCCCTCTGAGACTGCTCTGTTACTTTGCTTGCTCCATTTACAATGCTGGGTCCACAAGAAAAATGGGGAAAATGAGAGCCAGCTATCTTCATTATTTGAGAGTGGAGGGGCTGATTTATTGTCTCACCTGACACTGCTGGAACCCAGAAAGTGTACTGCAGACCAGTTAAGGGTGGGTTTTGCCTTGATTCTCGACGAACAGAAGAAGGCCAGTGAAGTGGCCCACATGGTGCAGTGGGAGATGTGAAGGACTAAGTGGTTATCCTTGTGGATGACAGGCAGGCACTTGGGATGCAATGTGCCATGTAGCTGACAAACTTCTCAGCGGGAGCCACCCAAGTTTATGCTCCCTTGACTCGTGGAATCTTCTCCGGCCCAGCCATTTCTCCATCACCATTGCATACTTTGAAGCAGTAGTAGTCACCAATTGCATGCCCCAGAAGGACATGAAACATTGCTCCAAATTACTGGTGACAGGTGTCTCCATTGTCCTTGCTGAAACCATCAGGAGAGCTCACAATGGGGAATCTGCGTCCTACGTGTTCCGCTATGTATCTATATTAGAATGACTGCTGAGGCTTTTTAAAAAGTCCATTGTTTTGCAGTTCTATTTGATGACAAGTTGGGCGGAAAACCCAGCTTGTTCCAGTGTAGTGCTCCACATCCCACATGAGGTAGTTAGAGTTTATCCTAAATTGGGGAAAGAGATTGAGACTGACTGCTGCAATTTCCTACCAACACTGTTTCACTCTAGCACTCTTGATGATTTTGTGAGCCTCTTTACTCTAACTGGAGCTCAGCTGCTGCAAGATTTGACACTTTAGAGGTTGTGTTTGAAGACTATTTGAATGTGACTAGGGAAGCTCAGTCTTCTTTACCTGTGAATACTTCAGACTAGCAAGAGAGGCAGCCCAAGTGTGCCATCTTCTCTGTGTTCTCTCCTAGATTACAAAAAGTCTTGGGCAGTCCCAAACCTAGATCCAGTAGAAGCAACACCCTGTAAAGCAGGAGTAGGCAACTTGGCTTGGACAACTGTTGGGTGGCACCTGGAAAGGGGGGAGTGTGATAACACAGTATAGCCAATGCTTCATTTGATCCAGCATCATCTGCTTGTCTTTGTAGCTTGAATTTTCCTTTATACCCAGTCCTTTCTATTTAGCTTAACCTACTACTATCTTGACCATTTCCTGGCCAAATATCCTCTTGAGCCCAAACGACCATTGTTCCATGGTCTTTTGGAACACAAGTTTGCTTCATGCTTTGTCATCACTAACATTCACATTAGATAGTTTGTTGTAGCTTAGTCTTTCTGGGCCTGCTACCACCGTTGTAGTAGGTTTTAGGTGATATCAAATGGTGCCTTTTCATTAAGTATTTATTTTTCATCTTCCATCCTTGGATCTGTTCAATGACTAAAATGAACTGAGATTTCTATTTAAAAAGATTGATGTTATTGTCTCTTGTAAAGTAAGACGTTGTATGTGTGTGCCTTTGGGTCTACTAAAACTCAAAAATTTTAAAAAATGCTAAAAAAGAGCAGACTACCAAGGAGTTGCTTGGTGGAAAAAAACTTGATAATCACAGGTCTTTTTCACCCTGTAGCAGGAATATTTTGGGGTAGCCGTTACTTAAGGAGCTGTTCTATAGTAGTTAGTACATTCATTTACACAATAGAATCTTAGGGAATTTTCACTGAATATCTACAATTTTTCATATGTAGGAAAAGATAAAATTTCTCTCTTTGTAACAGTAAGATTTGCTATTTACATTTCTTCATATGTCAACAATAAAACCTTTATGATCACATATAGTATTAGTTCATTTTTTTTCTTCTCTTTGCTATGCTCCTTTCTATTTCTGGCTTGAAGATCATGAGAGTAGTTGAATATTGCGCTAGAAGGAACGGAGCAAATAAACAAGTTCCAACAGAAAATTTCTTAAGTTCATGCAGATACTGAGAATCCTGTCTAATCAATAAAATGTTTCAATGTTCAGGCATTTGTTGCCTACAAAAGCAAACCTTCAGAATTGGTAAAAATATAGCCTGTACAGGGACTGGGGAGGTAGCTCAGCAGCATAAGCACCTGCCTGGCAAGTGCAAAATCTCAAGTTCATCCTCCAGTATCGAAAAAAAAAAATACAGCCTATACAATTGACAAAGTCAATTTTACACAGGTAGTTCTATCTCACCTCCTTCCATGAATTATTTAAGGCACTTCACTAAAGTACAGGCCCAACTGGAATTTAAAAATAGTCATAGGAATCAGCAAGAATGCTCAGTGAAAGGAGAATAGTGCAGTCAATTATAAGATTAATATATTTAAGTGCACACTCTACCAGATCTAAGACAGTTGTCAAAGGTAAGTCAGATACATGACCTTAAGCTCTTTTTTTTAATGTATTTGGTTCAGTTCTCATGACACAGCTCAGACTCATAGTGATCCTACTGTGTTTAGCCTCCCCAGTGCTGGGATTACAGGTATGCTCCACCATGCCCTGACTCAGTGGCTGGCTCAGTGTACCCAGGGGCCAGGCCAGTCCAGCATGCAGGCCCGGTGATTTAACTCCGGTCCCTGTGCTTGCCTAAGCAGGAGCTTAGTCCACTGAGCTATCTCGCTAGCCTGACCCTAAGCTTTTGAATAGTCATAGAAAAGAGAAAATATCATTTTAAGGTTTCCAGTGCTCATAAGATAAAAATCAGTAGGATTACTATTCTTGTTTTGTTTTTAATGGGTGCACAATTTTTCTTGAATTTCATTCCTGAGAAAAAATCCTGTTTCCTCATTAAACTGATGCAGTGAGCTAATTGGGAACTAAGTTCATAAAGAATTACACGCAGCGCTCCACAGCAGCAACCCGCTTCTCAAGCACTGAGCTATTGCAGTAAATCTATTCCAAAACCCATCAGAACTTCTTTGTTCAGTTGAGTACAGGAGCCCTCAATGTCTGGCTGAATTCAGGATGACATTTATTATCTTTCCCTAGGATGGTAAATAGCTTTCAATTCACATGCTAAGTCTACATTATTTATTATTTGTAGTAGCTGCCTGAAGAACCATGTTGAGAAATTCTGTTTGTTTTTCTCAGACTCAGAAGGAAAAAGTTCTGTGTTCAATTAACAATGCTTCGCGTGCAGGGTGAGGAAGTAGCTATGTGCACAACCCTATCTGGTAACTGTTTTAGAGAAATAGAGGTCTTGCCTGTGGGACTGTTGAGCAGTCACTCCATTTCAACCATGCTCACTACAGAACTTTTGATAAATAGCACACAGCAGAAGGCTCAAGCTCTTTTTCTGCACTTGCCCTACCCGTATGGGCTTTCCCCTGTCCATATCAGATGAAGGCCTTGCTAGAACAAAGACTCACCTCCACAGAGGAAGGAGGAATTCTACTTGCCATCTGTCTTTGTACTTGAACTGTAACTCTTGGATCTCCAGTGTGCTGGCCTGTTGTGTATATTTTGGACCTAACAAGCCTGCACAATGGCATGAGCAGATTTCTTGAAATAAATTTCTCTTCTTTCTCCCCTTCCTCCTCCTCTTTCTCATGGTCTCTCTCCCCTACTGCCTCCTCCTCATCCTCCTCCCCTCCTCCCTCCTCCTCTATTGCTGAACTCTGACTAATACACAAGGTATTGTGGAACAGAACAAGAATTGGCCCCCTCCACTCCAGCCATGCCACCCAAACACCCCCTGCCCTATCCCCCAAGAGACATTTGTCTCTTCTACCAGGCCAAAGTTTTCATTCCAGTCACTTGCCCACCACCCTATCTAGCCTCTCCCTTTCCTGGTCAACTCTTGTACTCCACCTTGGCTACACCACCACAGCCAGAGCAAACTCCTAACATTCTATCCAGGCCTATTATCACAGTATGGGGAGGCTTCTAGTCAATGCTGTGACTATTCTTTTATGACCAGGGTTGTGTCCTCTGCATGCTTTAATAAACACCTTTCCTACCAAGTAGTCCCAGAGAATTTTTGGAGATACACTATTATGGAAGTGAATAATAAAATTCTGTGAGAGATAAAAATTTGAAGAACATGGAAACTGTGGGAGAGCACAAGGATCATGGAAGAGCACGGAAATTTGTGAGACATTACAGAAAACCACTGGGGAAGAAGAGGTGATCCTAAGACAACATGGTTGATTATGGGAGGGCACAGGTTTTTAGAAGAACAGAAGAGAATAGAGAATTATCAGAAAATTTAGGCAGCATAAGGATTGTAGGAAAGTCTAAATATTGTGAGAAAGAAAGAAGGAGAGAGGGAATTTACCTCCTGCTCTGCTACCAGACATAACCTCACAGTCTGAATCATGTACCTCCTCTTAGGCCAGTCCACTTTTATTCTTTGTTTCCCACT